TGCTCATTTATACACCCACACACATGCTCATTTACACACCCCCTACATGCTCATTTACACACCGCCACACTTGCTCATTTATACACCCACACACACGCTCATTTACACACCCACACTGTTCACATATTCAAATCTTTATGGGGGCTCACCATTAATTTCTATGGGCTTAACCCTAATCCCAACTATGACAACCCATACCCAGTAACCAAACAAAATACAAGACTTTTGGCATTTCTAATTTTTTGATTGCATTTACAAATTTTTATAAAATTTAGGTTATTCTTGTGGGGACCGCAAAAATGCCCCCACAAGGTAAAACGTTACAAGTTTTTATCACATTCTGTGGAAATCTGGTCCCCACAATGTAATAATTACAAAAACTCAGCTACTGATTTATACAGCTGCACTCATTTATTTAAACACCCGCACCTACAAGCACATGTAATATCCTACATACACACCTCACACTTTTGTGTTTTGTACACCTGCAGGGGGCGCCGTACACTGAGGAAGACTCTGATGGAGGAAGTGCAGGAACTGGAAGCACGGGCAGTTGATCCCAGGGCCGCCGTTCTGCGAGACTCCAGCGGTCGCAGGTGGGCATAACTGACAGCTTGCACGTTACGTGTCACTGATGTTCCCTTAAAGTGCATGTCACACTTAGAAGAGTCACTAGCTTAGCATCATCTGCAGCTGCCATCAACCTGTGTCTGTGGGGGGGTGGGGTGGTGGGGGGCTTCAGTACCAGACGAACGTGTTCAGGTTCCGGATTAAATAACCTCATGAAATGATCCACAGGGAAAAGGACCACGTCTTCTAGATGGAGCAATAGGCTCCCACACAGGTACTCCAGGCCGCTCCCCGCCTCCCTGTATTTGAAGTGCATCTGCGTCCTTCAGCATCCAAGTTGCAATCGCACTTGATCAAGTGCTCATGTTGCCCTTCTCTCTCCCTCTCTTTTGCGCTCCTTCCTTCCCTGTTTTTTACTCTTCCTGTCTGTCCCTCTGAACCCTCTCTGTTTCTTAGATTGCCTTTATGCCTTAACTGAGGACAGGTTTGCATGCTGTAAAGAGATGTGCAGTGATGTGTGTAGTTTAGACCGTGATGATAGAGATGGTTCTCATAGAGAGTAACCATGCTGGTGCTGTTGTTGTCTTTGTACTGAGAAGGTCAGGAAAACTCAGGAAATCCTGAACATAGTAGCTTCTTCCCAAGAGATACACACAATGTCCTTCAAGGCCAATGGAAGCCGACATAAAGGGGAGGTTTAGGAACAGAAATGGAGAACCACTGAAAGGCGGGTGGGGGGCAGCATTGTGCTACAATATAGGCCTGCAGTATAGCCTCCTGAGACCCAAGGAAAAAAGTGTCCTTCAATTTTAGATTATTTGTCTTTGGAGGAAATAAGACATCTTACAATTTAGATTTTTTCAAATTTATTTTTATTTTTAATTTCACAACATGGAAGAAAGAGCTGAGCCAAAAGGCAAAGCTCTCGATTTACCAGTTGATCTACGTTCCT